CCAATGATGCCCCTATGTGGGTGTGGCCTTCTCCTAAGGATTCTGGGAATCCCTGTCTTCCTCCCTGGAGGTGAGACACACACTCACTCTGCTTCATCTTCCTGCTGACAAGCCAGGTGGAGCAACGCTGATAGAGGCAGAGCCCTGGAGCTGAAGGAGCCACATGGAGACCCTCGCTAGCGCTGAGATGCTCCCACCGCCACTGGATCCACAAGACTTTCCACCCACTGGACTGTGATCTCCTCAGGAAAGATGAGGCTGTCTGCTCCTGTAAAGAATTCCAGTCTTGGAAACTCACAGGAGCAGTTCTACCCTGTCCTATAGGGTCTCAATGAGTCGATGACAGGGAATTTGGTTTGGGGTTTTTACTTTGGTTTCAACGACTGCAATGATATTGGGGCTGCTCTTTGACAACTGAAAATGGATGTGAGAATAAAGAACCCTCCTGTGTTAGTCTGGGTAGACTAGAGAAATAAATTCATAAACACGCAAATGTGTATAAGAGAGGGTTTTACATAAAAGGTAATTGTACATTAAGAAAGCATCTGAGCGCTGGCAGGGGTCTCCATGTGGCTCCTCCAGTTCCCAGAGCACTGGGTCTGTCAGCATAGTGCCAAGTGTCTCATCAGTAGAGCATCTCTCAGGGAGTGAGCAAAGACAGAGTCTCTCCTGCCTCCCAGGAGAAATCCAGGAATTTTCAGAATTCTCAGGAGAAGGCCAGGCCCACATAGAGGCCTCATTGGTTATATCCTGACTCTACCCTTTCACTCATAATCCTCTCAAATTGACACCAAATTATGTAACTACCACACCTCCCATGGAAGAAGTGGGGCAAGAAACTTCTTGGGGGGTATGGGAGCCAACCCACAACCTTGATGGGTCCTAAGGGATATGTGTGTCATTGGAGGGGATCATTAAACAGATACCAGACAAGGCATGCACAGCTCATTCTCTTCCATGACATCAGGAACGGGAGAGAGAGAGAGAATGTATCCTTTTTACAAGCTTATGTAGTCTCAGCACACGCAGACCTCATTAATTACATGGGTAGCAAGGTGGGTAGTATCTTAACCCTAGAGATCCCTGAGCTTCTTGGGGGGAAACCTAATACTACCACTGGGGGCAGGCAGAGGGGAGTCGGTTGCCCCTTGAGCACATATGTCCGCCCACATACGAGTAGCTGGTGTGAAGACTATGACCCATGCTACACCATGCTTCAAGACAAAACGTCATTGATTTGTCATTAGAAATAACTATTTCACAATCTAGAATGACATATAATTTTTGTGATGAAGGTGCTTTCATGACGTTCAATTTGTAAAAATGAAAATACATCCTGCCCATCAGATGTTTACATGATGATTCATTACAGTAGCAAAATGAGTTATGAAGTAGCAATGAAAATAATTGTATGGTTGGGGGTCACCACCACATGAAGAACTGCATTAAAAGGTCACGGTATGAGGAAGATTGAGAACCATTGCCTTAAAGCACTCTATGGTAGTTACGTAATTTTGCGTTACCTTGAAGATATGGAGGTGGAGGGGTGGAGTCTAGCTGGTCAATCAGGTCGCAGCCTGATGGTGCCTTCTTGCAGGTGTGACATTCTCACGAGGGTCCTGGGAACCTCCCTGTATTAGTCTAGGTACTTTAGAGGAACAAATCCACAGCAACTCATGTATGAGAGAGTTTTATGTAAAGAAAGTGTGCATCACGAAAACATCCCAACCCAATGCTGCCCAAGCCCACAAGTCCAACATTAACCCAACACCAGTCCACAAA